TCCTACTTATTGCCATAATTAAAATTATTGTCTCCTCGTCGAATTTTTAAAAACTTCAGGTCGAGATATAGCCAGACTCAGATAGATATTCTGAACCATGCGCTGAAGTCACGATTTCATTATCGTAGTGTTGCATTTAACGTAGTGTTCCTTAGACGTTGTCTGGACAATGGTGTTTACATGTATTTTTCCTTACCCTTTAGGTTGTTTCTTGCATCGTCTCCATCGCTTACATTGTAAATAAAGTAGTCCACATTTCGCTTCAGCTCGTCCTACTTATTGCCATATTAAAATTATTGTCTCCTCGTCGAATTTTTAAATACTTCAGGTCGAGATATAGCCAGACGCAGATAGATATTCTGAACCATGCGCTGAAGTCACGATTTCAGTATCGTAGTGTTGCATTTAACGTAGTGTTCCTTAGACGTTGTCTGGACAATGGTGTTTACATGTATTTTTCCTTACCCTTTAGGTTGTTTCTTGCATCGTCTCCATCGCTTACATTGTGAATAAAGTAGTCCACATGTCGCTTCAGCTCGTCCTCCTTATTGCCATATTAAAATTATTGTCTCCTCGTCGAATTTTTAAATACTTCAGGTCGAGATATAGCCAGACTCAGATAGATATTCTGAACCATGCGCTGAAGTCACGATTTCATTATCGTAGTGTTGCATTTAACGTAGTGTTCCTTAGACGTTGTCTGGACAATGGTGTTTACATGTATTTTTCCTTACCCTTTAGGTTGTTTCTTGCATCGTCTCCATCGCTTACATTGTTAATAAAGTAGTCCACATGTCGCTTCAGCTCGTCCTACTTATTGCCATATTAAAATTATTGTCTCCTCGTCGAATTTTTAAATACTTCAGGTCGAGATATAGCCAGACTCAGATAGATATTCTGAACCATGCGCTGAAGTCACGATTTCATTATCGTAGTGTTGCATTTAACGTAGTGTTCCTTAGACGTTGTCTGGACAATGGTGTTTACATGTATTTTTCCTTGCCCTTTAAGTTGTTTCTTGCATCGTCTCCATCGCTTACATTGTCAATAAAGTAGTCCACATGTCGCTTCAGCTCGTCCTACTTATTGCCATATTAAAATTATTGTCTCCTCGTCGAATTTTTAAATACTCCATGTCGAGATATAGCCAGACTCAGATAGATATTCTGAACCATGCGCTGAAGTCACGATTTCATTATCGTAGTGTTGCATTTAACGTAGTGATCCTTAGACGTTGTCTGGACAATGGTGTTTACATGTATTTTTCCTTACCATTTAGGTTGTTTCTTGCATCGTCTCCATCGCTTACATTGTTAATAAAGTAGTCCACATGTCGCTTCAGCTCGTCCTACTTATTGCCATAATTAAAATTATCACATGGCACGTGATTGTTGCCCGTACTCCAGCGAATCAGCACCTTTCGCGCCGCGGGCAATAATATGCGATATTGCCCGCAAAAAAATGGTTTATTTGCCCGGAAAAAATAGTTTATTGCAGTGATCGCGTGACTACGACGACTCTGTAGACTGTACGACTCTACGACGAGTCGCAGTGTAGCATTGAGACGAATAGAAGATGGAATTCTTTTTGGAGATGGACATCCCGGCAATGGACATGGCCTCGGACCCCTGCCGTGTGGTGCTTGCAGGGATCATTTGTTGAGTCATGTTGGCAGCCTGACCGTCGGTAAGCTTGTGGATAAGATTCAGTTCTGCTCGAAGTGGTACTGTGATCACAAACAATTATTTGAAATAACACAAATTCAACTCAGCGTCGTGCGTTTTCAAATCCTCGCAAAGTCACTGCCTGTGTGTGGTCTTCATGTGCCACACAAAACTCTTACCAGGCTCATCTGTCCTCTGCCTTCACCTTTGCTTGAACAACAAACAAGAATTCAGGAATGTTTTGCAATGAAAAATACAGCTATCTGGAGCTGGAAAAAAAGAAGACAATTGCCCTCAGAATTGCACACCAGGGAGTCGTCAAATACTTGCACTTGTTGCAGTACTGTATTTGACAATTTCCTGATACACATGTAAACATGAAGAAACTCTTTGTGGTAGCACTCTAAATTTTTCAACTGAAATTTTGATTCTGCTGTATTTTATTGTCGTTGCCATGTCTATTGCTATGACGATGCGGTGCCGGCACTTTTTTTCTGTCTCCGTCTTTCAGTACTGTATACTCTCTGATGGCCTGTAGCAGACTTTTTGTTAGGGTGTAGGAGAAATATCTTCATTTTTCCTGTTTTGATAATGATAGCACATCAATATACATTGTGGTCATAATGTGTTGGCATTTGGGCTAATTTCAACAGCAGCCCAATAGTCTGCTCTGTGTGCCATGTGATAAATTTGTTATCGCATGGTTGCTGCGGGCCTTATGGCATATTATTGCCCCTCGAGGTTAGCCCTCGGGCCTACGGCCCTCGGGCTAACCTCTCGGGGCAATAATATGCCATAAGGCCCTTGCAACCATGCGATAACATATAATTATTGTCTCCTCGTCGAATTTTTAAATACTTCAGGTCGAGATATAGCCAGACTCAGATAGATATTCTGAACCATGCGCTGAAGTCACGATTTCATTATCGTAGTGTTGCATTTAACGTAGTGTTCCTTAGACGTTGTCTGGACAATGGTGTTTACATGTATTTTTCCTTACCCTTTAGGTTGTTTGTTGCATCGTCTCCATCGCTTACATTGTCAATAAAGTAGTCCACATGTAGCTTCAGCTCGTCCTCCTTATTGCCATATTAAAATTATTGTCTCCTCGTCGAATTTTTAAATACTTCAGGTCGAGATATAGCCAGACTCAGATAGATATTCTGAACCATGCGCTGAAGTCACGATTTCATTATCGTAGTGTTGCATTTAACGTAGTGTTCCTTAGACGTTGTCTGGACAATGGTGTTTACATGTATTTTTCCTTACCCTTTAGGTTGTTTCTTGCATCGTCTCCATCGCTTACATTGTGAATAAAGTAGTCCCCATGTCGCTTCAGCTCGTCCTACTTATTGCCATATTAAAATTATTGTCTCCTCGTCGAATTTTTAAATACTTCAGGTCGAGATATAGCCAGACGCAGATAGATATTCTGAACCATGCGCTGAAGTCACGATTTCATTATCGTAGTGTTGCATTTAACGTAGTGTTCCTTAGACGTTGTCTGGACAATGGTGTTTACATGTATTTTTCCTTACCCTTTAGGTTGTTTCTTGCATCGTCTCCATCGCTTACATTGTTAATAAAGTAGTCCACATGTCGCTTCAGCTCGTCCTACTTATTGCCATATTAAAATGATTGTCTCCTCGTCGAATTTTTAAATAATAATAATAATAATAATTAAAAAGCTTCCGTGGAGATAAAAATGTAATCAACGCAATAAATAGAGTAAGCTGTAGGCAGAAAAAGCTGTAGGCAGACAAAGAATTTGTTTACGTTGAAATTGTTTGTGAATTTAGATCAGTAGTTCTCGTTTGTGGTTGCATGGTAACTTTCTAGTGGTGAATTTATCGCATCTGTTGTCACCTGATATCGTTGAATGGTGTAATGTTTCTTTCAGCTCTCATTTTATCGCGCTAGTTAGGGTCTAAATTATTACTTGCATTGTGCGTATATATATTGAGTTAAGAGCTTTTGTTGATTTGCCAGTAATCCTCTGATGAGATGGCGACGAAAATGTTTAGGAACAAGATCCTTTACATACATGAAAACAAGTTTTGCTTATGGTGTTTGTACTGAGTGCGCAGCTTACTCTATTTATTGCGTTAATAATAATAATAATAATTTTAATATGGCAATAAGTAGGACGAGCTGAAGCGACATGTTGACTACTTTTTTAACAATGTAAGCGATGGAGACGATGCAAAAAACAATCTAAATGGTAAGGAAAATACATGTAAGCAGAAAAAGGGCAATGGAAAAAAAGATGATTCGAACAAGTTTTCGTACAACACTCTTCAGGAATCACCGTTGTACTAAAGAACAAAATGAGAACAAAGGAAATAATATAGCAATCAAGGTAGGGTGACACGATACAATGACAGCACTGGAAGAGTGTTGTACGAAAACTTGTTAGAATCATCTTTTTTTCCATTGCCCTTTTCTTCTTACATGTATTTTCCTTACCCTTTAGATTGTTTCTTGCATCGTCTCCATCGCTTACATTGTTAATAAAGTAGTCCACATGTCGCTTCAGCTCGTCCTACTTATTGCCATATTAAAATTATTGTCTCCTCGTCGAATTTTTAAATAATAATAATAATACCATCCACACACATTTGCTATCCAAAGAACAGTCGTCGGGTAGCTGGGATGGTATAGTGATTGTCAGTGTGGATCAAGGAGCTCATTTCAGCAAACAAACCCAAAACGGCTTAATCACAGACAAAATCCAGATGTGAATCATGGCCAGACAACACATAAGATTTCTAAGCCCTCGAACAAGGAAATCATGTTGTCGTGAATATGCATCACGAATCCGCGTTACGCTCATTATGTCTTTATTTGTTTATGTGTTACATCATGTTGACGTCATGCTGATGTCTTGCTGCACGCATCGCGTGCAACGTTTTGCAGCTCTCAGCCCGGAGCATGCGCAGCGAGCCTGTGGCTCCTTTTTTGCTGCCTTTTCCCTTTTGCATGCTTCACTTGTCTCTACTTGTCTCAACTAATTACTTGTCTCAAATAAGGTTTTCTGGTGACACTCCTTTTCAAGTCACCTAATCCTTTCAAGTAACAAGTGCAATGTCGTTCCGTGAACCGGAACCACTCCCGGGTTTCGGCACCAAGTTTGTGCGCAACTTTGAACTGTTGAGTGGGAGAGCTTGTATAGCCACGCACAAATACGTCTTGGTAACTCAAATATGGAGTGGTTCCGGTTCACGGAACGACATTGCACTTGTTACTTGAAAGGATTAGGTGACTTGAAAAGGAGTGTCACCAGAAAACCTTATTTGAGACAAGTAATTAGTTGCGACAAGTAGAGACAAGTGAAGCATGCAAAAGGGAAAAGGCAGCAAGATCACCACTCTCTCCAGTGGGAAGCAACATCCGCTGGCAACTAAGCTCAACTTAGTGCTCGACAACGGAGTACTGAGATGCCGTGGAAGACTGGAGAATGCTGACCTCTGCTCCAAATCGAGGTTTCCCGTCCTGATCTCCAAGGAACACGCCATTGCCAACCTGATCATACGTGATTGCCACCTCAAGGTCATGCATGGCGGCGTAGCGCACACACTATCCCGTGTCCGATATCAGTTTTGGATCCCGAAAGGCAGATCAGCTGTAAAGGCCCTCGTGCGCCGCTGTCAGACGTGCATTCGCTACGAAGGCGCGCCATACAAGACACCTCAGATGAGTCCGCTACCTTCTACCAGAGTGACCCAAGCGCGACCATTCTCACACATCGGCCTGGACTACTTTGGCCCAGTCCTCGTCCGTACACAGTCAGAAACCGCTAAGGCATGGGTCTGCCTGATCACGTGCATGGTGACCAGAGCTGTTCATTTGGAGCCAGTCCACGACATGACAGCTGCCGAGTTTCTGCTTGCATTGAGACGTTTCGTCGCCCGCCGTGGCACGCCAGAGCTAGTTGTGTCCGACAACGCTCCCCAATTTAAGCTGGCCAAGTCCGCTCTTGACATTGCCTGGAGCAACATTGTGGTAGACACCAGTGTTACGTCCTACATTAGCCGCCATCAAATCCAGTGGCACTTCATCGTCGCCAACTCTCCGTGGATGGGTGGAATGCATGAAAGGCTTGTGGGTATTGTCAAGCGCTCCATGCGCAAGACCATTGGGAGACGCCTCCTCACATACAGCCAACTCGCCACTCTCCTGCCAGAAGTTGAGTCTGTTGTCAATTCTCGGCCGCTAGTCTATGTCGACGAAGAACAGTGCACAGTCCTGACGCCTGGTCATTTTATCAGCCTGTCTGCCACACAGGGGTTCTTCACGGTCAGCAACGATCCAACCGACCCGGATTATCAGCCTATCAATTCCTCTGCAGACAGCCTGTTGGACCTTTGGAAGAAGGGCCAACGACACCTTGATCAGTTCTGGCTCGCCTGGAGGAACGAGTACCTCCTCAGTCTGCGAGAAGCCCACACGTCGTCTTTTAAGCAGTCAAGGACTCGATCCTCAACGTTTCCGAAGCCTGCTGACGTTGTCCTCATCAAGGAGGAGTTGCCTCGCGGCCACTGGCGCCTTGGACGAATCCAAGAAGTACACACCAGCAGTGATGGCAACATCCGCTCTGCCACCGTCCTCACTTCGGACAAACGTACCATCAAGCGGCCAGTAAGCTTACTGTGTCCGCTTGAGACCAGCAGTACCTCGGAATCCCCAGGTACCCCAGCTCAGGAGACCAGCAGTACCTCGGAATCCTCAGCTACCCCAGCTCAGAAGACTAGCACTCCCGTTGCAGTCGTACGAAGACCGACACGAGCCGCTGCCAGCAAGTTTCAGTCCAACTTGCAGGATTTGATCGCCGATGGCCGTGTTTAACTCTCTCTCTCTCTCTCTCTCTCTCCCTCTCGCTCTCGCATTCTTTATGCTCTTCAGTTATCTTTCCACATGTTTTGTGGGAAATTTCTCCTTGTTATTAATTATGGTTAATTCTGTTCTCCGGCCAATGCCCGGGGAGTGTCGTGAATATGCATCACGAATCCGCGTTACGCTCATTATGTCTTTATTTGTTTATGTGTTACATCATGTTGACGTCATGCTGATGTCTTGCTGCACGCATCGCGTGCACCGTTTTGCAGCTCTCAGCCCGGAGCATGCGCAGCGAGCCTGTGGCTCCTTTTTTGCTGCCTTTTCCCTTTTGCATGCTTCACTTGTCTCTACTTGTCTCAACTAATTACTTGTCTCAAATAAGGTTTTCTGGTGACACTCCTTTTCAAGTCACCTAATCCTTTCAAGTAACAAGTGCAATGTCGTTCCGTGAACCGGAACCACTCCATATTTGAGTTACCAAGACGTATTTGTGCGTGGCTATACAAGCTCTCCCACTCAACAGTTCAAAGTTGCGCACACATGTCGTGAATAGCAAGCGTAAATATGTGAATATATTTTTAGCAGCGTAATGCACGATTTGTGGCAATGAAAACCATAACGTGCGATAGCTATTGTCTCACATCCTTGGCTTGGGAAACAGTTTCTATTTTCATGTCTTGTATGAAAATTCATACAGTTGTTTTTTATTGTGTTCGAAAGCAGTTATATCTGTATCGCAGTGGAACATTGCCACCAATAATTTTGGCTTCTTATTTGGACCTATTCGTACTTTATGGTTGTTCTTCAACAATCCAGAGCCAATATCATAGTGGTCAAAGTTATACTTAAGCTGAGTGTAGGGACAGCGTGTTGTATGTGTGATGTCTCCAGTCACTAAATCACAAAATAGGAGAAGACGAGGACTGTGAACTAGCAGTAGAGGCGAGAACACGTTTCCTTTCTTGGCTAGTCTGTGCACAGTTCCACGTAAATCCGGTGTCTAGCACAATGGATGGACAATTATTATTGATGAATATTACTCTCTCGGTCTTCAACTGATTGATTGATTCGTGCTGTAGCAACTCCATCCTCTACTTGGACTATTTCCATACCAGCGAAAGCCTGCGATAGATAAGAGATGGAATAGAGTCTACTTGTGAGTCCGGTCTAGGAGAGCACGGACGTTGGCCCTAGGTTTGTAGCAGCCAAGTTTTTAAAGGGAAAAACATGTAAGGCTCCTTGCTCAAGGATCCATTTTGAAATTCTGGTAAGGCACAAGGAGTATCCAGCAACAGTTCGAGGAATAAACCCGTCGATTGACTAAGGTTAGGCTGGACTGAGGCAAGCACTTCACCTTTGCTATAACCTGATATCGGCACCAGGCCAGGAGCTGCCGTAGAAAAATCACTTTCAACTTGAGTGGCCCAGATTTGAATGCTGGAGACTTTCAATGCGGCTTCAGACGAAGCTTGGCCTCGTCCATTTCTCACTAGAGCTGTAAGTTTGAATGGTTCCCGTGCAATCATAGCATACGACGGGAGGGGAAAGGAACAATTCGACAAATTAATGTCTGCGTTATCCACAACTTTACCCATGGCACCAAAGTGTCCTTCTAGTTTGCAAGGTTTCTTGGTCGTAACTGTCATTCTCTTCATTAGAGAGCTTGTTTTGGCCACAATGTCACTGGACGCTTCGGCAAGAAGTTGAATCGAATGTGAATGCAATCTAACAAGGTCTTCATTTTTAACAGCATGTCTGGTTCCGTCAAGTACATGCTGATAAGCACCCGTTCCTGTAACCGTTTGAAGGTATTCTTGGAAAAGACAATGCTTGCTCAAGGCAACACAACTGATATAGGGCACTTCGTGCCCTAAGGTGATAACGCGAGTGCTGACAGGATAGGGAAAGGTGCAAGATACAGAGCTAGAGGGCAGATAAGGTTAGCGCTAACAGGGAACTGTTACACCATCCCTCCCTCCTAAGCGAGGCACAGGTGCCTCCAGGGAGTCGAGGAATATGTGGAAAGGGAATAATCAAAATGAAATCGTGTCAACCCAACAACGCTCATCTAATTGAAGCAACGTGCAAGGTAACCAAGGACAGTCAGGCGAGTGAAGATAACGGAAATGGGGAAAATCTAAAACAGGAGGGGAATGGATTGCTTAACACAACAAGGATCAAGTGGGAATTCTCAAGGTACACGTGCAATTGAATTTGTGTGAGTAACATTTCGCGGTAACCATAGTGTCACTAACATGCCCTGGACGCCCTGTAACGCCTCAGAGCAACTATCGGCCTACCGGCCTCGTCCAGCAAGTTCCCTTCTGGCTCCCAGGTGGCTTCGTCGTCTGGGTACCCTTGCCACTTGACAAGGTACTGAGTCTGATGCCTTCGCTGGCGATCGTCAAGAACCCTCTCCACCATGTATCTGGTCTGACCGTTCAAGTCAGTGAACGGTGGCGGGGGTGGCTGCCGCCTGCCGGGAATAGTATTCTGCTCATACCGGCGCAGAGCAGTGATATTGAAGACAGGGTGGCACCGAATAGCGCTGGGTAGATCCAGCTGATAGGCGTTGGGTCCGATCTTCTTGATGATTGGGTAGGGCCCGAACCACTTAGGGCGTAGCTTCTGTGAAGGCTGATCCCGGGCTTCTGCGGTTGTTAGGAAATCCTTGTACACCAGCACCAAAGCTTTTTGTGTGTAAGGGGTGTAGTAGGTTGCGTGTATTGAGGCTCCCGTTTTTCCGTAGTTTTTAGGTAGCTTTTGGGGACTAGCCCCAACAGCCTGGGTGGGATGGCTAGCCCAGATCACACTGAGCAGCTGGTGAGCGCCGAACAGGTCCATACACAGCTTCGCTCATTGCCTGGCATCGAACACAATGTTGTAGAAGTGCTGAGAACTCTAGCTCGTCTTGAAAGCCAACTTCAGGACCAGGAGAAACGATATCAACGAAGGATTAGTGAATTGAGCTCCGAACTTTCCCAGCTGAGAGAGGACCTGGCCGACACTCGCCTTTGCCAAAATTTGGACATCGGCAATGTTACGTGTGCGTCTTGTAAATCAAACTCCTCCGCCATTGCAGACCAAGAGAGAGAGCAAGAAACAACCAGCCAGAGGCAGCGCCGAAATCGAAAGAAACGTAGTACAGGCACAGAAAGTCGTTCACAGTCCGCCGTTCCCGTAGAGAGTTCACGACCCATTGATCCCGAGATGGACCTGACTAGCAGTGTCAGATCCGACGTTGACAGCTCAAACAACAAGCCGTCCAACTCCCGTACACATGGTACACCCGGACCCAGCTCGGAGTTGACCCCGCCACGTGTGGATCGCTTGCCGAAATTTGAAGAGATGAGTGAGGATTCGGACGCCACATGGCGACTCATCACCTCCACCAAACCCACAGCGAAGAAGAGAGTCCTGTTTGTCGGAAATCTGATGCATGCTATTACTGCAGACCAGCTGAAGGAGTTCATCGCAGCAAGAGCAGCTGAGGCTGACCACAATGTCCAAGTGTTTGACGTAAAAATATTTCAAAAAGAAAAATCCTCCACTGCGCGTATTGTTGCCAGTGCAGCGGACGAATTGTTTCTCAGCAACAAGCGCTTCTGGCCAAGGCCTGTGTACACAAGAGAGTGGAACTTCGATAAGTACACCCAGTCTGATGCCAGTGGAGATCAACAAACAGCGCAGAGCAGCACCACGACCACCAACAGCAGCAGCAGCCGAACGGACGACAGTAAGAGCGGACACGGCGTGGATTGCGATATCCTAGATGACACCTGTGGAGCACCGGCCCGGACTCCAGGCCAGAAATCACGGGGCTATCAGCGTGACTCGCCGCCCGAGACGCAAGCTGCGAAGTTTAGTGTCACTGTTGGCAACGCATTTGCATCTCTAAGTCAGGATGTGGATAATATATCTGTGCAATGACTGGAAGAAGATTAGGCAACGACCCTGCTGCTCATGAACTGAATATGCAAACGCAAACTCCAACAATTCGAATTTTACTGCTGAACATTAGGAGCCTGAGGAACAAAGTTGGAGAGCTGGCATGGCTTGCCGACCTTCACAGTCCTGACATCATCTGTGTCAACGAGACCTGGCTAGACGACACCGTGTCTGATGGAGAGATAGCTTTGGATGGCTTCAACATACTGCGCTCAGACAGAAAAGATCAGGCCGGTGGAGGAGTCTGCCTGTACTCCAAGGCATCCCTCCTGGTCAAGCCAAGAATGGACCTCACAGAATCGGCAATTGAGAGCTGCTGGGGAGAAATCCATTGCCAATCTGGAACTTGTTTGATAGGAACCATTTATCGACCTCCATCTGAGCCAGTTCGATACTGGGACTGCCTGGACGACCATCTCCATTCAGCTATAATGCCCGGGAAGAACGTGATTATTTGTGGCGACATCAACATAAACACCAATCCAACAGCACCTCCAGATCCACAGCTTCATTATCTATCTGACCTCGTGGCCAGCTACAGTTTATATCCCGGAGTTCACCAGCCGACTCGGTTCTCAGCAAACTCTGCACCAACCACACTGGATCAATTTTACAATACATTCGACCCTCTAAATATGGCTACTGTTATCCCCATCGCGTTCAGTGACCATGCAGCAGTTCTCAGTGAATTTCAACTCAGCCCAGTAAGAAGTACTGTAACTTCTGGGCTACGGCGACACTACCGAAACATAAATCATGACCAGTTCAAGGCAGATTTGGTCCAACAGGATTTTTGTGAAATTGACGGAAGCCCAACTGTCATGTGGACTGAGTGGGCCAGCCGCTTTCTACAAGTGTTAGACAGACATGCTCCTCTTGCACCAAGCCCTCGACGCAAGAAAAAATCAGTACCATGGATGAACCGCCAGTTATTACACCTCTTGACCAAGCGCAACCGGCTCCATAGGAGGTGGCTTAGTGATGGAACAGAACATTCCCACTCAGCTTTCAAGGCTGCCAGGCGGGAAGCTACCAGCTATAATAGGCAACAGAAAGAGACC